AAAGGATTTTAAAAGTATTAACTCACATGCCAAATGATAAATGCACTGTATTTGATCAATATTGTTTTGACTGGGGAAAAGATTAAAGAAAAAGCTAAAGCAAGGTTAGCAAATTTTGTATGCTTCCAGCATTCATCTCATTCTGAACATTTAAGACAATGGTGACTGTTTTGCTAAATTTACATAGCTGTCATTGAATCATGAGGAAAGTCAGCATGGAGGAAGACAGGGCTGATCAAAAGGTGTTGCTCCAGTTAAAGAAAGTCACCGGTAGAGCATTAAATCAGCCATATTGAAATATAAAATTAAACTCTGACACGAACATTCCAAGTGAGGTTATTACGTCTCTAGCATTAAGTCTATGGTACAAAGTGTAAATACAGGAATAGCCTTTATAAAAAGGAAGAAGGAGGAGAGAAAACGAAGGAGCATCCATCCTCCACCTCACTAAATTCTAAAGAGCTTTTGCTAACAATGTATGTTGTATAATGAATATTAGTCTTATCTACTGTAGATGCTGACTTTCAGGGGTGAAATTATCAATCTTTAAAACTTGCTTGACGAGCAGATTGGTGGCAGAACCTGATTTGTGCATGTTGATTTAATAACCTCCTTATTTTGTAGGTTCATCACATTCCCCATTTGTAGCAATGTAATAACTGACAGCGTATTGCAATATATCAAGCCCAGCAATTACTGAGTGCTGCGTGTTTCCGCCTTGTAGAGCCAGTGTGGGACAACAGCATATGTGATGCAATTAGATGCCAGCTTGAGGTTGGGACAATAAAGGCAACATACCTCAGCAGGCTGAATGACCCTCCAGTTTATTCCTTTGTGTTTATATTGAAAGCCAGGGTTATAATAAGATCAATCAAGAAGCAGAGATCACTGGTAGCTCTTCTGTTTCTTCCAAACCCCAGATTCTGAGAATGACGGGGACTCTAGTGCAAGCTGTGTAGCTTTTCACTGCGTGAAACTTGCTTTTAATCTTGAGTTTTACTTGGGATGCTTTTTTCCCAATCCTCCATTGTGCTGTTAACATTCTATGCTATTCATTTAATTACAAAAACCGAAAAGTTATTTTTTAAAATAAATTGCATGTCATCTGTCCAGCAGTGAATGCAAAAAAATCTCCCGAGCTGTACAGTACTCTCTCCTGTGACCAGGTATTTTTTTTTGTCTGTTCATTTATATTCAACATGCATCTGCTGGCAAACGTAACTGAATGAAAATCACCAGTTTTTCTTCGCCAAGAGACAGTCCTGGTGAAGTGTTAATCGTATCACACTTTTTAACAGTAATGTTATGTATTGTGTTTCTGCTGTACTTTCAAATAAACAAGGACTGACATTTTGTTTCCTGTAGCCATTGCACTGGTGGATCAGTGAAGTGAGCTGCTGTGATTTACTGATACTTTGCTCTTTCTGTAGATAATGAGATCCACTTACTCTCCTGTTCTGCTAAGTAGTAATTCAATTTAGCAAAAGGAAATTTCCATCAAATCTGTAGGCTGCAGCATGAAGTCGGTCCACACCTTTGACCCTGCTTGAGGCCAAGAGTTAGAATCTGCAGTGATAACACACAAGAACCAGCTGGGATCATAGTTGCCAAAACTGAATGGAAAGAACAATGGTCTAACTCCAACCTCATATCCATAAGCTTATGCAAAACTTCAAATCCACAATGGAATGTCTCCATCTAAGGGATGTAGAGATGGACACCTCCAACAATCCTTGAATTCTGTGCAATATGTGATTGCAATTGCGTGTATCTCAGACATGGTGCAAGTGTAAGAAAATATACTGTAAGTAGTGTTTTAACGACTCAAGAAGCTGTTTATCTACAGTACTGCTTCAGTTTTTCAGTAGTTCTGAAAAAAAAATATTACCGAAAATGGACTGATATATTATTTTTTACCAGTATGGCATGGTAATGTAATGGTGACCTATGGTCTTTATCAGACTATACGACTACAGGCCATGAAGAAGTGTGCTTCAGTAACACACTGTGTAGCAGAATGATATTATAATGGGAATGTATCAGAAAATGTCTTTGGGATAGTGAGTTCATCATTTCACTAATATTTATACAGAAATTAATCAGTTATGCACTTGATGTTGGAAATTTAGTGATTTAAGCCACATCTTATCTTTAGCTTTATAGATTCTTCTTCAGGATGGAGTACCAGACACGGTACCCTTCCTTCCAACACATCACCTCCAAAGCTCAGGGCTAAATTCAATACTTTGCCCTGCAGTTACACAGTCTTTATTACTAAGGACATAAATTATTGCAGCAATTTTACACTGGATATCACAACTGTGTATCAAATTGACACAATGTAATAAAGCAGACTAGCACGCATGCCCTCTTTAGGAATAGAAAATGATAGCTCAGGGGCTTGATTGTAGTGTAACACTCATGGAAGGTCTGGGGTAACAATGTTCAGCACTGCAGTCATGTGGTAAGTTGTTATATGTTGGAATGCCCTCAGCAAAATTCTATGTGACTGTGGGCATCAATAATAAGAATTATTATTTTTTTGTTCTTCTTAAGTTTCAACACGCTCCTGTAATTATTTGAGTATATAAAACATCTATATATAAGAAATGCTGAATGATTTCTGCTCCCATGAATGCATTTCTGCAGCGCACGCAGTCCCAGTCCCGTTCTAAACCATCATTACTACAGGTTATTAATAGCCCTGGCACTGTGAGACTTCCATTGTTCAGTAATCAGTTTTCAAAATAATAGCCACCAAGCGAAAGCTTTTATAGACTGTAATAATGCCTGATGAGCCTATCAGACAACACAGCCCACGTCTGTAGTTTTACATTCATATCCTTTCTGGATGGATAAGATCTTTGGATTAGAGGTCTTCCTTTTTGTCCTATACTATTTCATTGAGAAGTGCCTTCATGTTCATCAAGAGCAGCTGAAGCTCACCCATTTTTATAATTGCTTCTTGATTAATCAATGATAAAAATAAATACTCTAGAGTTCTTTTCTTTGCCTTTTCCATTACCTAGGCAATCCATGTTTGAATCTTAAAAGGACGAAAGCATATGAATTTCCCACATTGGCTAAGCAAACATAATAATGGTTGAGTTCTTGTAACACACATGAAGAAGAGAAATAAAAGGTTCAGATTACGTGAGGAAAATTCAAAGCCCATCTGAAAATGAAACACAGCTGCATATAGTGCCTTCTAATAGTGTGGTTTGAATCCTAATTTACTGATTGACCAGTGAACGAGAAATTTACATTTGAACTTTCAAGCGACTCCATCCATCAATGAATCTACAGTACCTGCTGACAGGTGTTTGCAAAACTATTGATAACTCCAATAATGTTAGTGCAGTGTTTAGATACAGTACCATGACTTTGTGTTATTGCTCTTAATAATAAAAGTTGTATTTCTGAAATAAGCTCCAGTCATTTTGTTGCAAAAATTATATAATTCATTTAATTATTATTGCATCAGTTAGATATATGGAGGATTTAGCATAAGTACAATGAAAAAAATCATTAAAATGATCATCTGAAATTATCTAGAGATTACAGTATTAAAATGACCAAATAAATAATTGGAAGTTAAGGAGAGGGCAAAACTAGCTGGTCAATTTGGATTGAAGTGACCCCCTTCATTTTGTATTGCCATTAGAAGCATTAAAACACTTGTGTGTTGTTGCCCAATCCACTCACTTACAGGATACTCACGAAGCATTGTCTGTCACTAACCTTCTTACACTTCACAGAGCATTAGAAACAGACTTCAAACGTTAAAAACTGAGTACATCGCCTGTGAAGACTCGAAATTGGGAACCTGAAGGATGATATGACATTTTTCCACTTTGTTGTGTCATTGCGTGTTTAGGAAAAGCAGGTGTAAGCTTGGTGATAAACGTTTAATAAATTGGACTCCCCTCCTCACAAGGAATAAAATGCAACTTGCAAGCACCAGGTGGGAGCGTGTGGTTCGGCCGTTTTCCAGCTCACATCTTTCACTGACATCAGTAAAAATGGACAAGACAGTTACATCTATTCCCTACGCCGGGCAAAGCTGTGGTGCTTAATCCTCTCTTCCAGAAAGAAAAAAACACAAGCTCATATCAGATCTGCTTTTAAGGATAACATGCCCCAGCTCTATCAACACCACGGGTTCCATGTATTTCCTTCTGTATCATTTGGAAAGGAAAGCGGAACGACATTTTTTAAGGGAAATGAATTGAAGTCCTCATAAGTAACTATAGGGAAGGCACTAATTATGTATGTTGTCTTTCTGGCAATATGGCTTGCATATCACACTGACTTCAAAATAACTGAGATAGTATTACAGCATGATTCTCTGGCATACCTATTCCCATGTAACTGTTTTTTCAAAAAATCAATTATAGTGAAGTATTATCTAGAGAATGGGAAAATAGCATTATCAAAATATTCTGAGAGTGAAGGATTTAGCACTTCTCAAACAGCTAATTAATTAGATTAAATAGATGAATATGTAATCACTGCCTACTGGATAATTCTGATGAATCTAAAATAACTTCATCCTATTAAATCATTAATCCCAGATGTGCTAGTATCTTATTCCTCAGCTACTAATGGGTACAACTTCATCAAGATTAATCACATTTTAGCAATACAAACTTAATTTTCCAAATAAGGGAGCTAATTCTTTGACTTATCTGGAAAAATTGTGGTATTGTTCTCAAGCTGAAAATAATTACTGCAATAACTTTACAGTGACAAATAGGTGCTAGTGTTTGAAACAATAATACAGATACAGATATCCTGACTTGCTTTTTGTAATTCTGCTCTTTTTAGGAATCAGACAATAGCAGGTTTGCTATAATTGGCTCATGGAACCTTAATTCAGCATATTCTCCTTTGCCATAATTCCCACTCCATGTCTCGTTTCTGTTCACTTTCACTCAATCACTCAACATCTCTGGTAGGTATTGTATTTCAATGGCTTACTGTCCCTGGATGTCGTGCAGGTGGAGAAGAATGAAGAGGCTGACCAGAAAATCGAGCAGGATGGCAACAAACCTGAAGATAAGGCCCACAAGGCGGCCACCAAAATTCAGGCCAGCTTCCGCGGACATATAATCCGGAAAAAGCTCAAGGATGAGAAGAAGGAGGATGGCACGGCCGCCCCAGAGGCGGCGGCAGCGGCTGACGGCGTGGAAAACAAGGAAGAGAAGGCCTCTTCCCCAGCAGCGGAGAGCAAGGAGCCGGCAGCTGAGGCCGTGGACGAGCCCAGCACAGCAAACGCTGAAGCCAAAAGGGAAGAAGCTGACGCTGTGGAGACCAGCAAGGATGAGGCCAAGCCTGCGGCCGCCACGGACCCTTCAGAAAAGGCCAAGGACGTAGCTTCCCCCGAAGAGAAGGCAGCGGCGGCGACAGAAGGCGAAAACAAGGAGGCCCCACCTGCCCAGGAAAGTGCAACCACCACCAGTGCTTCCACTGAAAGTGCCCAATCGCCAAATGCTGTGGAACCCGCGGAGAAGAAGGAGCCCCAACAAGCCGACGTGCCTGCTGCTGACGCCAGTGAGACGACACCCAAGGTCCAAAGCGAAGAGACTGATTCCAACCAACCACAAGACAAACAAGGTGAGGCGGTGTTCCACGTTTTGCATGGATACATTCTTTCCCAGGGTTTTCGAATAAGTCACACTATATGCCCATAGTCAATCAGAAGTCAAAGATCCTCCTTATCGTTATGAGTAAATGCTCAAAATGTACTTTTCAAGGTAAACCAAATTAGATGTGGACCTTTCCTTCTACAAAAAGGGAAAAGAAGAACATAATTCACACAGGTGCTGTCCAGCAAAAAAAAAAGCAAAAAGCACAATTAATAGGAAAATCTTCTGGAAGCATACTCATGCTTAACCTCTACCATTTGTTTGAAAATGCTTTAAAACACAATGCACTAAACTATATATTAATGAACTATAAATTGACTAATAGACTACCATGGGTTTCGGGGAATGCATCTGAGATGTAAAACAACATTTCTGATTAAGGTTTAACCTCAGTACCTACATTGAAAATACTGATTTATTTTCCTTTTAAACCTCAGATGGTATATAGTTCGTCTGAAGAGGCCTGTGTGCAATGATTTTGCATTTGGATGAAAGAAGAGTTTTCCCTGGAGAGGAGACGGAATGTGAAAATATAGTACAGCACATATACAATGATTGATTTTTTTATCATGCCACTGGCAAAGGTGATCTTTTGTGACATTTAACGTTTTTTCTTGGAGCTTTAGGGAATTATATGGAGCATGGAGCACATGTGGGCTAATTGTGTACCTCATTCCTAGTTTATAAGACAAACTCCAAAAAGGGTCAACCTGTGAAATACATTATTGATGCAAAAATAAAAGAATAGCACCTCTCACAATCGCATGAAAATTTTGGAGAATATTTCAAAATACAGCAGGGGAGAAATATACGCCCTGGGTATTTTAACAATGTGAATCGTTTATGTTAAATGTAAACTTACAGACATCGCAATGTCTGTGTCACAAGAACAATTGCAATCTATCTGTATAAAAAATACTGAAAACATGTTAAAAGTATAATCATAACATACTTTGTTTCATTCAGCTAAACTAAATGTTAAAAAAAACTATAACTTTAGCTCTAGTTAGGTGCAATTGTCTGTGTGGCAACTTCAGCTATTTAGCCAACATTTTGTATAGTGTGTAGTCAGAGAAATGGGCCTATAATTAAAATGGCAATATGGTAATTAGAGTCTGGTGTTTGCAAATAATTTACCATCAACCCATGTGTAATATCAATAACTGAGAAAATCCCTATTAGAATTCAACATTTATAGTGCAGGTTTCTAATAATATCCAATGTGTTTCAAGACTACATTCATTCTGAGAAAAAATAAAAATCGGAAGTTGGTATGAGTCTCAGGTGGGTTGGTGTTTATTTTTGTAATAGCTTGACACACTTCATATACTCATGTCAAGACCTTTAAGCGGTAATCGCACACATAGAGACCTGATCCGCTCATGCATATCAACCTTTGAACAGCACCACTTTCTTCCTATAACAGCACCATTTCAAAAGCTGTCACTGTATATTTTCTCTTTTGTTCCCTTCTGTCTTTCAAAATGATCTTCTTCTTTTATCTTGTTTTTTTTTTTGAAGTGGCATGGACTGCTTTTCAGATCTGTTTTTTAATTTAATTTTCAATGCATCATACATTTTCTTATCCTTTGAATGTAAAAACACAGAGACCTGGAATTCCAGTTGATTTGCATGCAGTTTTAAGAGGAAAGGGTAACACTAGATAACCACATAAAAGGAACCAGCTCCCAAGAAGCTATTTGCACAACATTCCTCAGTCTTTTTAACATCTGTGGAGTAAAGAAGCTGAATTGTTTTCCATTTACAAAATATAGGGCAATGTATCTCATAGCTGGTGTTAATCAAAACTGAAGCTTGAAAGCTTTTGCTAATAGTACACCCAAATGGTACCTTTTCTTGGTTCGATCCATAACTTTGTGACAATTTAGAGAGCGCGGAAAATGTGAATGCCTAATATTGCCCAAGATCAGGTCTGATCGGCTGTACCTCTTGATGTAGAAAGGTGCCATTACATTGGTGCAGTGGAATGTTAACCACAGGCTTCTATGCTTTGTTCATTTCAATTGCTCTTTTACTGTGTCAGCATCATTCATGAAACGTCTTGCTGGGTGTTGCTTATGGTAACATCAATGGCATCCAAAGTTTTATGTAGCTGCCTGTTAAATTTACTGTTATAATTTGTAGTCTTTTGATTGTTTTATTGTAACTTGAGATGGTGTGTCATTAAAGGTACTATAGAAAATTCATTCTTATTCTTATTCTTTTTGAAAATCACTGAGGTTAGATACTGTAGGTTGTAAAGAAGATATTTCCTTAAAACTACAGCATGAGTGGACACAAAAATATTACGCACGCAGTGGATTCAAGTCTTCTGTAATCACAATTCAAAATGGAAAAAAATGTTAAGAAACATAGCCAGAGTTAAAAAATAATGACCTTTGAAAATACGTTTTTATACTCTAATTCTAATTCTAACTCTACCGGAAAAGCACAATAATATATTTTTATATCTTATTAATTCCAGAGGTACTGTATTGGTTCATCATACAGTAAATGCTATGAGGCTATGCAGCAGACGTGCTTATCTGTACAATATTCAGTTTTTACTGTGGCCACTATTACCTGGAAATAGAATTACCTACTGTATAAGATTCTTACTTTTAAGGTAATGGGACCAATTACAAATAACATATTGGTTTGTTTCTTTAGTCCTCATAAATAGCTCCCACAGGAACACTACTATAAGCATGTGTTTTTGCCTCATGCTACACAAATATATACATTTTACAGAAAATCCATTATGCTGACGACTCTAATTTCTGTGAATGGGAGCCTACGTACTCTAAAATATACAATTTCATTTCAATGCAAGCTTTCTTGTTGGTGCATAAAGAGAAGCTCTAAATCTAAACTCTGTCTGTTTGTGGTTTGTGTGACAGTATCTTATATAAAAAATCTATCGTATATCTGAAATTCATAAAGTATACTGTATAATCTATTCAAATGAGAAGCTGCATTTTAGAAAGGTTGATACTGAGAGCTGAGTTAATAATAATCATTGCATTCATAAAGGGATTTTTCATTCTAAACAGATCCCAAACCAATATATGTTCAGTTAGGGCCCCACAAATATTAATGTATGCCTACAAATATTTATTTCTGTTTATATGTTAATTACTATATGTGAATATATTTAATATATATATATAGTTAATAATATCTGCACTTGATTGAGAGTCCCCCCGACAGACACAGGTATCATTGATAGAATACTGTGGAGGTGTAGTTCACAAGACAGCATAGTACATTTTCTCCAGCAATCTTACTGCTTGACTGTGTCTTTGCCAGGTAGCCTATCGTCCTCAAGCACTGTATTAATTGAAAATTTCTAACACTGAATAATTACTGTTGGAATGCTATGGCCGTGGTAAACAGTCTGTATAAATTAAATATTCTGTACTAACTATAGAGGCAACATCGACAGATTTTGAATAATGACAAAAATAACACAATGAATAGATATTCACTGGTTTGATATAAAATGCTTAAAAATAGAAGCAATAGGAAAGACTATTATTAAGAATATTATTAATTCTATTCTAGTAGAAACACTTGAAAATGTTACCTGAAATCTGAAAAGTTAATGTTAGCCTTACAGATTAACATTTTGTTTAATCCAACACATAAAATAATTACAGCAACAAAGTTGTGGTGCGATTAATAATTTTTATTAATGTTTAATTAATAAAAAAGGTAATTTATAGAACACACTAACGTTTAGTACACATACTGTACCTAAATTTATTTGTATTCAGTGTCGGTATTCCGTATTCAGACATAAATGCTTTTTTAAGTTAATTATGACCCAATCAACTGATACATTAGTGCACTCAATGAATCACTGGGACATACTGTGTCTGCATGCAATTACCCCTTAGTTTAAGAACATCTTACACACATAGAGAAATCTATAATCACATATAAATAGAAATAGGCAGGCATAGATATTATGTGTAGGACATGGGGGTTTCATTACCACACAGAACAAATGTTAATGCACTTGAGTTGGATTCCTGTCCCTGTAAGTGAGGGCACTGGGTGGTGTAAAATAAATTAACATTACTTATTAAAATCAGGGCTAAGATTGATCTAATTCAGTCATTTTAAGGGGCTGAAACAGTTCCCATCAGAGGCTGATGGCATTCCCTGCTGTGGTGCTTGCAAATTCCCCTGCTGTTCCTGAATCACATTGTATCTGGATGGGCAGTTTCCTTTGGAGAAGGGCTCAGACACATCTGTGGCCTGAAGATACGATGCAATCTGCTCTTTTTTGGCTCTGGTCATTGGTGTGTTTCCTTTTGAAATGAAAACGAAGCATATGTCTTCAACAATTAGTAACATTTTTAATGTGTGTTCCCAGATCAGAGTTCTTTTGCTAACAATGCCCTGGTTTTGTAGAATTTTTCCGCAGTTTTCTTTTGTCCTTCCCAGCAATGTAGTTGTCTAGTGTTGACTCCTGATAAACCTAATTTGACTTTACACTTGGACCCTGCATCGTTTTCTTCTAAAAATGCTTAAATGCATAAAACGAATGACATTTGCAACACAATAGAGATCCAATTAAATCATTCCTCCTTTCTGTAAAATGGCCTGGAATAGAACTTTAATTATAACCACACCTATTGATGATCCTGGAACAAAAAAAAAACTGAAAATACATAAATGATGCACAGATGTAATATGAAATGGACAGAAACAAATCTTCTAAAAATCATAGAGGATTTCATAACTTCAAACAGAATCTATATCATGATCTGACTTTTATTTCATCCTTAAAGGATGAAAAGAAGTTTATATTATATTTGCGTTTTCTGGCAGTTGTTCCTGCACAGGTGTGAGGTGGCCCAGCACAGTGGCTCGTCACAACACCTCTCTTAAACACAGACATCATCTTGACAGCCAGCTGAAATCCTGTACAAATGCCAAGGAGACAGAAAACATATTGATCACATTGTCTGCCGTGATTTGAGACCATTATCTGGGATGATGCTGTGAGCCAGTTAAAGACGGGCCTGCTCAAGTCTCAATGGGGCCTTGAGTCCTCAGTCTGGGTGAGGCTACAGGAGCACCCCCTCAGCACTTCTGATGCTTTTGCCCCTGCCAAGACAAGGTGGTATTAACAATAAATGCCATTTCCTTCATTTCACACATTACGACATCCTAACTCCATTTGAAGTACAGCATGCCTCAACAAGTTACACTAACCGCTAGCCAGCAGGGTATAGGATATCTTGCACGGTGTGAGTTTCACAAACTGTCATGTCAATTTATGGGTGCGGCTTCAGATAATCGTCCTGCAAATGCCACAATTTGCATTCACAATAAGTCAATCTCTTCCCATATTATCATTATTAACACATAGCTGTGTAGTGGTTTTTGAGATTGGCCTGCTTTTCCTACAAGCTGAGTACAAAACATACTAAAAAATAAAATAGCGCACCAGTGTTCCATCCATCCACTACACCCCCAAGGTAACAAAGTGAAGAGATGAGGCTGATTCCTATGTTATGACGTGGCAAGCTGCCCCTTGAGTAGATGGGGATACCTGTGTTCTGGTCATGTGAGCTCCTATGACAAAATCTAAAATTTAGAAAAGGCAAATCATGTTTAGTGGGCATGAAGAAATTAGGGTCTATACCCAGGCTTTTGACCACCTGTCAGCCTGTGTAGTATTTATGTCTTGAGTGCTGATGGCTCCAGTGTCTCTGCTCTCTCTGGCGGATGAAGTTTGACCCCGTTCCCTTTACCAGGCTCTCCCTGCTGGGTCTGCATGCTCGCGAGCACGACAGGTGGCTGCAGACTGCTGATGGCGATGCTGTGTGTAACACATCGGGTGCCTCAAACAAGCCAGAGTTGTCTTACTCCCGCTGTCAGTGAGCTTGCAGGGAGAGAGGCACAACCAGCAGTCCTACTGCATGTCTTTACACATCATTTCACCTCCATCCATTTTCTAACCACTTCTTCTACGTCAGGGTTGCTGGGAGGCCCGAGCCTATCCTGGCAAGCAATGGACACATGGGAAGATACAGGACAGGACACCAAACCATCGCATGGCAGACACACACACTCACATCTCAGGCCAATTTTCCCAGAAGACAATTAACCTACCAGTATGTTTTTGGACTGTGGGAGGAAACCAGAGCACCCAGAGGGAAAAACACATGAATATAGCATTACCAGTGCTAATCACTGTGTCACTGTGCCATTCATATGCAAATGATAAAAACTCCATTGAGTCTATACCGTAAACTACTGACA